TGAGTATAACGTTCATAGAAATTAAGAAGAATCAGATGTGAGAACACAGCAGGGGATCCCCTTCTAATACATGACAGACAAAGACAAAACTCTTCGGGGGAAAAAATGGTGTCATACAAGTAGAAGACACAGATGAAGATGCCACACTGGCTGGTTAATGCATGAAGTTTGCATTTGTGTTTGTCAGAAAGTTAGAAAGATTGTTCAAGTTAGTAAGAAGGTCACTGTTACACAAACTGATAAATGCTTCATACGAAGTATAATGAGAACTTTACACATATAGTTGAACAATAACAAGTGCAGAAGGAAAACTGACTATACCAAATTGTAGAGGAAAAATTCAAGTACAGGTACAGATAATTCCATAAATATTCAAAAACTGCCAGAAAAATAGCCTCATGAGGCTTAAGATATAGCATGTGCACCAAACTAAAACAAATCCGCTGTGATTCTTTCACATGTGCACACACACGCACTCGCACAGCAAACACTCTAAACTTTTACCGAACTTAAACTCCCCCAAAAACCCTGTGGTGACCGCATAAAAAGTAGTTCTCAGGTTACAAACTTGCCCAAAATAGGCTTTAAGTACATAGTACTGCTATCTGGTGACGTAGATTATAGTTTAGAATGGTTACACAAACTTGCACGAGCAAAAACACAGACGGATACACATGGCCTGTTACAAATTCAGCACCATGCAAAAGAAAGGAACATTGTAAAAATAACATCTTATGATGAAAATAACGACTGAAACTCAAAAAAGACACCAGAGAGTGCTGAACATAAAATTTTGTACTTCACTACCAATGCTGCAGCTTTTCTGATCACAGACAGTAAGTCTTACATCTCGTTATATATTGACGTAAACTCAAACCTCCTCAAAGAGTTGGGGTACAAGACCGAAGAGGAAGGAGGGTGTTCGTTGACGGCCTATGTTCCTCAGGGAATACTAAGGCATAAGAAGAAGAAGAAACTTTCTAAAAGCAACAAGTCGTTAAGAGTGATATTCATCATCCAATGATGACTCATAGCTGCATACAAGTCCAATAATTACACATAAAAAGGTATCCAACAAGGGCTCTTTAAACCTCTAATTTTTACATTGAGAATTATCATTATTTCAGGCTGGTTCTTCTTAAAATATGGGTCAAGACCCACAATAAGCCACAAGCCTGTTTCTAGTGGGATCCCATGAAATAAGTAATAATATGCTTTCACAAGCGAAGGGAATAACTTCTGTCCCTTCCTGGAATTGGGAGAGAAAAAAAATTGAAGGGAAGTCCTTCAAGAGCAGTCGTTTTCAGAATAGCTAATCTGTGTACAGGAAACAGGCGCTAAGACTTCTGGCGCTAGTGGGCTGAGCAATCAAAACAATCTCTCCATCTTCTGATTGAGCAGAAAGGGACCTACGCCAGACTCTTTAACACATTTCATCATAGGGAGTGGGGGCTGGACACCCCAACCCCATAACACCATCACCTCCCCCCAAGAATACCCACTGCAGACCCTCCCACACCCCGAGGCTGGATTTCACCTTCAGGTGACGAGAGAGCAGAAGAGACTTCACCAGGGCAAGGCTGCTTGACTCATTGGATGACATCAGCCGCTGCATGCTAAAGATTTGTGCTGGCCAGCTATGTGGAGTACTCCAGCACCTTGTCAACGTGATGTCAAGACAGTTCCTGTGCTAGGGAAAGCATTGTGGTTGGTACCAGCATCTTTGGCTGATAGCACTAATAATCACAAGGCCTATAGGAGAGTTTTGGTCCTATAACACACTATCAACCTGCAGTTTGATTACCAAGAGAGTGTGGATGGCCAAATAATGTACATGCTGGACAGATCCAACAGTGTGGTGTTCTTCAACTTCTCAGGTGACTTCAACCCTACTCAGCCGAGACTGCTAAAGGATAGACATCAGGATGTGCAGGATGCGATGATGAGTTATACCTGATGGGCAGACCGCAGTGAGGCTAGAGAGCTGTATGTCTGCACATATTGTGAGTATATTGGGACTCCCCATGGAACTGTGCTATCATCATATAAATGTTGGACTTTAGGGTAGTCTGCATGTGGACAGTGAAAGGAGATTAAGACTATTCTCCAGTCTAAATCACTCAGAGTTACTTGGATATTGTTACAAGTACCTGGTTGTCCATCAACTCCAAGGCCTTTAACAAAAAAGGGCCAGAGCCAGCTCTATTCCCTGAGAAGGCTCAGGTCTACATGTTCTATCAGCCTGCTGTTGCAAGTAGCATCTTCTATGCAGTGTAACACCAACAGGCAGAATACAATCTTAAAGAAGGCTGGATCTGTCATTGGGTCCAAGCTGTTCACACTGAAAGAAGTGGCTGAGAACAATATCCTGGCAAAACTGCTGCTGATCCATGGCAACGCCTTCGCACCCTCTGAAAAACATGTTAGCCATGTTTAGGGCTCCTTAAGCAACAACTAAAGTTTATAAAGGAGTTATAAAGCAGGTAATACCTGTTTCTATCAGACTCTACAATTAATCTGGTTTGGCCTGTTGACTAAACATATCTATCTATCAAGGGAAGGAACAAGTGCAACTGAGGATTGAATGATTTTGAACTATAGATGCACTGATAGCAGGACGCAATGAGACTAAGAGGAAATGAAGCAGGCCTTATTCAGGGAGAAAGAGAGGAGAAGAGAAGATGGAGGAAAAACATATAAGAGCTGAAATTATTTTCGTCTTCACTGGCTTTTTCTTATCACCCATCTTTCTTCTCCTCTATTTCTCTTCTCTTATCTCCACTTCTTTCCCTCCTCTAGCCCTCTTGGTTCCATGCCTTTCACTTTTCCCCTCCTCCATCTCTGTGTTATGAGTAGCATTTGGGGAGAAAGTACGTGGGATTTTCCCACAGCTCGACAGAACCAGACCCAACCCCCACCACCCACACACTCATTTTCTGTCTCTCCCTCCACTCCCTCTGCCTCATGTCAGAGGGGAGTCTTGAGGAAAACCACCCATATTCCACCACTATTTTGGATGTTTATTGGAAATTTATGCCACTTGTTCCATAGACAACAATTGTGAGGTGCTATGGCAACACAATAATCAGAGGGTTACAGGAAAAAATATCCCTCCCTTTGATTTAAAACAGTGTATCTCCCGTTAAACATATAATTAGAAAACTCCTGGTAATTAAATACTTTGAAAAAGACCATAGTTTCCAGAGACGAACAAAGTTGACTTTAAACCATATAGGTGATTTTTTTATGGATTTCACAAGGTCATACATTTTACTCAGCACCTGAAGGACCATGGTTAGGTATGACTGGCCATTGTTGCCCCCTTTTGCTTCAAGTCAAGGTTCCAGCAGTCAAAGGGCTGGTTTTTGCACTGTCAGAACTAGTTTGGAAGATGTGGTGTCCAATCACGTCCAAAATCAAACGTGTTAATATTCCTTCAAAATGGCCAAACTGAAAATGTTGAGTAATGCCAGCTGCCACAAGGGTTTCCACCCTAGTTCTTCAACCACACTTTGAGAAATGAAGATATTACTGCATCTACTGCTATTATGAAAATGTTGTGAAATGGTTCCTCGAGATTAACAACTGCTGGCTCAAATTCTCCAGGGGAGCTGTGATAACTGAAATGGTAAGAAATATTAAATGTATGTTCATGAGTTCTGCTGTTTTCGCCTGATGCTTTTTTCAGTCTCTGCAGTGGAGCAGAAGCTTTTGTGCACATTTAGGTCACGTTACCTGCTGTCTTTTTTCATCGCACTTTGTTTTGTTGTCTTTTACCTCACCTACCTTTCACCTCAGCTAAGCTTTTTATGTTTTTGTTTCCAGCTTTTTCACTCAGCTATTTTCAGCTATGTGCTCCATTCTACCCTCACTTGTGAACAAGACCCCAAAATACTGGAAAACAACTTGAAAATGGGAGTAATCCACCCCATTACTGAGAGTACAATGGTCTCACACTTCGTTGTAAACAGCTGCCCCTGTGTGCCCGAAAGGTCACAGACCTATGGAGCTAATAGAACTACATTGTCAGCAAAAAGCAGAAATGAAATCCTTAGAATATAAAACCATACAAAGCAGCACTTTCTCCATGAAAACCACAAAATTGGTGACACTTAACATGGAGAAGGTGCTTTTAGTTTTTATGCTCAACATTTCTAGGGGCAGGGAGGGAAAGCTGTAGCTGATGAAGAAAGAGAGAGACGGAAGAGAAGGAGATGGACAGCAGGAAAAAGGATATTGTGGGTGTTCGTCCAGAAGAAGATGAGATTGACAACAGACAGAGAGAACAGGCTGTGCATATTGTTCAGGTGATTATTTGTCATTAAACTTGTTTGGTAATTAAAATATTTGCAGGGGGCAGCTACTATGACAAATAGAACCTAATTCTATAAGAAACAATGGGACACCAAGCCTTTTACAACACCTCCACTGTTGATAGGCTTTCATTACAACATCCTTTAAAGAGTGAAGCTGATTAACTGTCCAAACCAGTATGGAATCTGTACTTCCACGTCTAGATGTGAGAGAGAGGGAAATCAGATCAGGCCTAGTCATTCATTCACATGTGTAATACTTCTATGTCTTGGGTCTTTAGGTTGCAGGTGCAGACAATCTGGGACCCTGAATTTACACATGTCAAACCCTTTCTCTTGACTTTCCAGGTGGTGGGCCCACAAAGCGGAGTTCCTGCATTACCTCAAGCACAGACCCCCAATCAGACGTCATTGTTGTCTGATTAAAGAGTTGCTCTTTACCCAGAAGATAAAAAACTGACTATATAATACAAGTAAGTGATTTTCTCTCATAGCTAAGTATGCACACACTACACAAAGTGAAAACATACACAGACACTTCACTAAACAGTGATGTTTTGTGTGTGTGCGCTGACTGTGACATTGTGTTTTCATCCATGTATGTGCTGACACTTTGCTCTTGGTGCACAAGGTTTCATGTGCATGATGATACTTGTTAGTGCAGGTGTACTTGGGGGAGGAATTTACCTCTGCTGCCTGCGTCTCCTGGTGCAACAATGTCAGCCCTGTCAGGTCTTCCAGGAAAGAGTGGGAAGAATTAAAAACTTTGGACAGGAAGTTAAAACCTTCCCTCTCATAGTGATCCAGGACCTAGACAAAAAGAAAACACGAACAAAGAACAACAAGAGGTTATTTAACATTAGATGTAATGTCTTTTGCAAAGGATAACACACAAAAAAACATTCTGACTCCTACATATAAGCTACTTTCTTGGTCCAAGGTTCATATTACTATCTATACTTTTACTATCATACTTTTGAGCCAGGTTTTACACTTATAGTTTTAAAAGAAATTAAACAACAGTAGTTCATCACTTTGTGGGTCCTTTGTATGTGTTGCTGTATCACCAACCTGTTAATGTCGTAAATTTGCACAACAGTAAGTTTGAATCTTAAAAGGATTATCCAGGAAATATTGATATCATTTCCCTAAAGAAATTCTTAAATAATCTGGTGCAGGAAATGCAAAATTGTGGCAAGAGAGATGATGCCCCATTTCAAATGCTTTTAAATTTGCTCAGCTGTACAAAGTAGAAACTCAAAACCAGGTCAAAAGAATACAATTTTCCATCTCAGAAGGTGAACTTTCTCTCAAATGCAGATTATAATAGTTATAATAACAATAACCGTACAGGCTCTGGGCCTCGGCAGCAACGCACCTCAACTCCCAAAGCACACTAACACACACACATACCCTCTGCCCTCTTGACTACCTTCCTAAACTTGGCTGAGCCCATCATTGATGCTCACAGTTCCTCCTCTGCAGGTGTAGGGTTACCTCTGCCTGAGACATCGACATCGACACACACACACACACACACA